ACAAACCCTTGGCAAATGGCGGGGAGGAGGAGTGAGGTCGACCATCTGTCGACTTCGAAAAGTTGGCAGAAACGCAATCTGCCGAAGACTCATGACTCAGAACAGGTACATCATGTACTCCTCCCTCTGGAGGCGGGAATCGCCCTTTCTTCCCCCCCCTCAGGCCTCAGGACCTGCGGGGGGGGGGGGGGGGGCTGCATGTAACACTCGGTCAGCACGAGCCCGAACGTCACCTGGCGCAGCCGCGGGATCTGGTGGGCCGTCTCCAGCAGGCGCCGCCGCGGGCGCAGCAGCACCCTCACCTCCTTGGCCAGGAGGCGCAGCCCGTGCGGCTGGAGAACTGCCACTGCACCACTGGGCGCACCACCAGGGGTAGCACATCCCGCAGCGTGAGCGTCATCTTGTTCACCCATTCTGCGACGCTTTGCCTGTAGACGCTTGGGCTGTTCTGCCTGAGCATCCTTGAACGCCTTAGACTTCGCAGCAGCATCGCCGAATAGTTGTTGCACCGCAGCCTGGATACCTTCTTGGAGTTGTTCCAGCCTCTTGGTGGCCTCACGCTTATCTTCATCCGAAAACTCGTACTCCTCCTCGGCCGCGAGTAGGCTGTCCAGGCAGATGGGCAGCGTCTTCCCGCTGAGGAGGTCGTCGATACTGAGCTGCGGGCCAGGCTTGGGTTCCTGTCCGCACCCCGCGGCAGACTGCAATTGGCTGACGAGCGACTTGTGTTTCTCCGCGGCCACCTGCAACTCGGACCTGAGGGTTCGAACACGGTCACGTTGCTGGTCCAGCTCGCCCTCGAGACGCTCGAACGTGGTGAGGCTCTTCCCGAGCTTGGCCTCCAGCGCACGCATCTCGTTGAAGGCACGGTTGACCTGGTGCTCCAGAAGGACCATGGTCTTGGCCTCGTCGTTCTGGCGCTGAATACGAATGTCGAGCTCCTTCTGCCACTTCTCAGCGGACTCGGGGTCGCCCATACGACGCAACCCGTCGACGAGCCCACGCAGCTGGTCGATGTCGGAGAGCTGGGTCCCCGCAGGCGGGGTGCCACCCCCACCAGCCATGAACTGAGGGCCAGGGCGACGAGGAAGGCCATCAGCATGAAGACTCCCAGCGGGTGCCCACGAACCAGGAGGCGCGGGACCTCCAGCAGCGGCTCCCCACACCCCTTGCGGCTGCGGCCATGGCTGGTCCATCCTCGGGGTCGCACGCCAGGCCCAGCAGTTCTTGCACTGCTGCCATCCTTGTTTATTCTTCTTGCATCCACACGAACTGCACGTCCAAGTGGATCCTGGCGAAAAGTCCCAGTGTCCCCAATCGTTCTCGAGAGATCGCGCCGTACGCCATGGCCAGCTGGCAGCCCGCGGAGGGGCAGAACGCTGGGCGGACCCTGGCGGCGCCATGGCGGGAAGCGCACTGGGCGAAAGAAGGTATCTTGTCAAATCGCTTGGCTCGCAGGAACGCGTGCCCTTCTGAATAACGTCCCTGCAACGCAACTTGGCGCAGAAGGGCTAAGGAGGAGGAGGAGGAGGAGGAGGAGGAGGAGGAGGAGGAGGAGGAGGAGGAGGAGGAGGAGGAGGAGGAGGAGGAGGAGGAGGGGAGGAGGAGGAGGAGGAGGAGGAGGAGGAGGACGAGGAGGAGGAGGAGGAAGGGAGGAGGAGGAGGAGGGAGGAGGAGGAGGAGGAGGGATGGAGGAGGAGGAGGAGGAGGAGGAGGAGGAGGAGGAGGAGGAGGAGGAGGAGGAGGAGGAGGAGGAGGAGGAGGAGGAGGAGGAGGGGGAGGAGGAGGAGGAGGAGGAGGAGGAGGAGGAGGAGGAGGAGGGAGGACGGGTCGCCTAAGCCCTTCGGAGAAACCCTCCAAGCCCAGGCTGTAACAGCAAAAAGACAAGGTCCCAAGTTCCAGGATCGTCTCCGAGCGCAGCTCGCCCTGCTCAGGCCTCTGGGAGGCTCCTCGTCGCCACTGGTCAGCAGGGGCCGTCTTCCCGGAGACCTTCTCTGGCGGCGCGCGCAAGGGGGTGGAAGCAGGGGGGAAGGCATCTTAGAAGGAGGCTGCTTCTTAGAAGGCGCCGGCCTTATACATATATATATATACATGTATACATATGTATACAAGGCTACATTGGCGCTTCGCTCCATGCGCCTTGTTCCGGACGCTTCCCTGGCAAAGCAATAAATCATCGCTTTCTTCAGCAGGGATGACCTCGAAGCCTGGACGGGCGACCCGCCCATTTTTCTGATATCCCAGGTGCCTGCTGACACCGCTTTCGGACGATGCGCTGGCACGCTTGTGCGCAGGAGTGGGGAATTCATGTTGATTTTTTCGCGCGCGAAGGTCCTTTGAGGAAGTAAGGAGCGTTCCCATGACACGCCGAAGAAGTCACAGTAGCTCCGAACACATCGATATTTGATCGCTTCCCGAATGCCTGGAGGGCTCCAGGCACTCAGGAAATCTTCGATCGTCGAATTTCGAATCTAGATCCATTGCCTGTTTCTCTCGATCGGGGAGCTACTGAAGCCTCGAGCCTCAAGCGTGGAACCAAGATCGTCGGGTCAGCTTGATGTATTTCGTAGGAGAACGCCGTCTGGTCGTTTTTGGTGCTCTTTTGTGCCGTCCTGGGGCACTCTTGGGCCGTCCTGGGGGCTTCTTGGGCCGCCTTGGGGAGCTGGGGCCCTCCAGAGGTCTTCTGAAGCCATCTAGGGCCCTTCTGCGGGCTTCCAATGGCGTTCTTGGAAGTATCCCATGGCTTTCGTGGGTCTCTCTTGGGAGCCTTCTTGGGGCATCTTGGGCTTCTTGTGGGCAGTCTCGGGGCTCTCTGGGGCAGTCTTGGGGCCCCCTTGGGCCGCCTTCAAACCCTCAAGGGGACCTCCCGGGCCGTCTCGGGGCGAGATTGGGGGCCCATTGGGCCGTCGTGGACGCTGCGAAGACCCAAAAAGCGGATATGCACAACAAATGTATTTCCTGAGGGAATGTGACGATTTGGGCTTCTTCGGGGCTCTCTTCATGGCCTCTTGGGGTGTTTTGGGGGCCTCTTGGGCCGTCTTCAGACCGTCGAGGTTCCTCTTGGAGCGCTCTTGTGCTGTCTTGGGTCTCTCTTGCGCCTCTCCGACGACCCTCTAATCGCCTTCAGTCGGCTCGCAAGGCCCAGCGAGGCGCCCTGGGAGCCTCATTCCGGGAAGTTGTTTTTTCCTTCCGGGAAGGCCGTTTTAGCAGCAACGGTTTTAGCAGCCCTCGCCCAACTTTCGACACACCCTGGGGGGATGCCTTGCGCATGCCACACCCTGGAATACCGAGGCCAGCTTCGTACTGGCTTTGGTCGGTGTGGCGGCCCAGGGCGGCCAGACCGACCACAACCACAGCGACAGTGCTGACGCCGAGGCGGGCGCGGGCACTTCCCCGAAGGGCTCTGCAGACAAATGCACTTTGCTGGAGGCCTCCTAGACGGGATCCGCCGATGCATCGCCGATGCATCGCCGATGCATCGCCGATGCATCGGCGATGCATCGGCGCCGTCGCTGTGGAGAAAATCGGGCTCCACATCGAGCCGCATCGGCGATGTGTCGGCGATGCGGCGCGCTCCTCCGACCCCATCTACACGGACCCCATCTGGGAGGCCTAACCGTGGGACGCAACTAAGAACACCCCCTGTGTTATCGTTAGCACCGCCATCCCTGGAGGGCTGCGAACTGCGAAACTGTCGCCACTCTCGAGGATTGCTGGGGGCTCCAGAGGAGTGCTAAGCAACGGCCAGGTGCCAGGGTGCCAGGCTAACGCTTCAGTAGAAGCAAACAAAAACATTCACGTAAACTTTTGGCGCTCCGCGCTGAATTCTTGGATCCGCGCTTGACCTCCCTCCCTGGCGCGCGAAGCGTGCCAGGGGCGGCACCGCAGGCGCCGCCAGGGCGGCCCCAGCCCGGATCCAAGAAATCTGCGCGGAGCGCCAAAAGTTTTTTTTTTTTTTTTTTTTTTTTATTATGTGGTGATGTTTCATTTTTCGATTCGAGCGCTGTCGTTTCACCGAAAGGGAGGGGGGCTTAATTTTAGTAGGTTGGGCGTGTCCTACTACAGGCGGACTCTGGACGAAAGCTTACATATAGTCCAACAAATTCCAAAATAGTCTCAAAAATCGTCCCCAGACTCTTCTTTTGGCTATGTTTGAATGTTCCTCCTGTCGAGGGACAGGCCCGGCTTCATCTAAATTGCTTGCCCGGGTCAGGCTAGCTGTGGCTGGGTCATTGCGCCGACCTCGCAGACGTGCTGCAGCGGATTTGTGCGTGGATTTCTGTCGATGCGAAACCCCGACACGGCGAGCGAAAAACGAAGTGAATTTCGTGTGGGTTCTTTGCAATATCCATTCCCGGCCAAACCAGCTCCGCACGAAGTCCACTTCGAAATCCGGACCGAGATTCTCCAGGCTCATCCGGGCCCACCCCGTGATTCCCCGAACGACATCCGCTCTGCGATGTGGGCGCCATGAGCCGTGGCTCTCTGCTGCGCCCGCAGGGCAGGCCGCCACGAGCCTGCCAGGCAGAAGGTCGGCTACACGCAAGAGTGACCCTGGGTATAAGTGACCTTTGGTGCGCAGCTTCCGGGGGGGGCGCGCGGAAGCCAAACCTGAGCGCGCAGGTCGCCTCCATCGCATCGCGTTCCGTCACGTGCGGACCACAGTGTGCCTCGGGGATCCGCTAAACTCTGCGTGCCCGCGCCACAGGTCACTCCGTCGAAAGTTAGAGGCTGGAAATGGAACCAAAACCAACACAGGGGGTTGCCTCCACAGGGGGGAGATGATCCTAGATTTCGGTGTTGGTGGTAATATTTCGGCCACCTTGGAAGCCAGAATATCACCACCATCACCGAGATCGGGATCTTCTTCCCCCGGTGGAGGCACACCGCCGAAATTGGTGTCGGTGTCAACCTCTAGGCCTGCGAGAAAGGTCGCTCGTACGTGCAGCCGAAAAAGCCAGCCCGAAGAGGCCCCCGGCGGAGGGCGGCGGGTGGCCAGCCTCTCGGCCTGCGCCCGGGCCTCGAGGCCCAGCTGCAGCTGCCGCTGCGCCTCCGCTCCGTGGGCCCCGGCGCTTCTCCACGTGTGTATAAGTGTGTGCGTGTGTGTGTGTGTGTGTGTGTGTGTGCGTGCGTGTGTGTGTGTGTGTGTGTGTGTGTGTGTGTGTGTGTGTGTGTGTGTGTGTGTGTGTGTGTGTGTGTGTGTGTGTGTGTGTGTGTGTGTGTGTGTGCGTGCGTGCGTGCGTGCGTGCGTGCGTGCGTGCGTGCGTGTGCGTGCGCGTGTGTGTGTGTGTGTGTGTGTGTGTGTGTGTGTGCGTGCGTGCGTGCGTGCGTGCGTGCGTGCGCGTGCGTGCGTGCGTGCGCGTGCGCGTGCGTGCGTGCGTGCGTGCGTGCGTGCGTGCGTGTGTGCGTGTGCGTGTGCGTGTTGCGTGTGCGTGTGCGTGTGGTGTGTGTGTGTGTGTGGTGTGTGTGTGTGTGCGTGCGTGCGGCGTGCGTGCGTGCGTGCGTGTGCGTGTGTGCGCGCGTGTCATTATATATATATATATATATATATATATACAAGTGGCACGTGTGTGCCCAGTCTCATACAAAAAACTGAAGGGGCGTTTGAAGCAGGAGTGAAATGCAACATCGAAGTCGCACTCGAGCGCAAGTGGGGTTGCCACACCTTGCGATGTGTGTACCAGGACCCCCCAGGAAGCCTCAGGAGGCCCGACTTGGATACCAGAAGAGGCTCCAGGAGGCCCCAGGATTGTGAGTGTTGTGCGTGTGTGTGTGTGTGTGTGTGTGTGTGTGATGTATGCTTTGTGTGGTGCGTGCTTTTTGTGTGTTGTAGGTGTGTGTGTGTGTGTGTTATGTTTGTCTAGCGTGTGATGTGTTGGGCGTGATTTGTGTCTCTGTGTGCATGTAGTTCTGAAGCCCCAGGAGGCCCCAGGAAGCCCCAGGCGGCCTCAGGAGGCCCCAGGAGACCCCAGGAGGCTTCAGGAGGCCCCAAGAGGCTCCAGGAGGCCGCAGGAGGCCCCAGGAGGCCCCAGGAGGTTTCAGGAGACCCCCAGGAGGCTCCGAGGCGGGGTCTGGGGTGCCAGAAGGTTCAGAAAGCCCCAGGAGGCCCCAGGAGGTTCCAGGAGGCCCCCAGGAGGCTCCGAGGCGGGGTCTGGGGCTCGATTTTGGAAGGATTTTTCAAGCGAAACCGCCATTCCCTGAGAATCGGGGTCACAATTATTGAAATTACCATGTGTTTTTGAAGGTTTTATGTTAAAATGTTGAAATTCCCATGTGTTTTTGGACCCTGACGTCACGATCTGCGTGAGGGGTGCCACCGATTTTCAGAATTTCGAGGATGTCCCGAGCGAAACGCCCAGAAAAATCGCGGACGCGTGCGCATTAAATCGCCTCTGAGCTCTACTCCCTCGGAGAGGTGCGTATGAGAATATATATATATATATATATATATATACAAGCATACAAAAAGCTGCATAAGCGCTTCGCGCCACGCGCCATGTTCCGGACGCTTCCCCCGCAAAGCAATAAATCATCGCTTGCTTCAGCATAGGGACCTCGAGGCCTGGGCGGGCGACCGGCTCATGTTTCTGACGTCCCTGGTGTCTGCTTCCACCGCGTTCGCCCAATGCGTTTGCACGCTTGTGCGCAGGAGTGGGAAAGCAATGATGATTTCTTCACGCGCAAAGGTGCTGGCAAACGACGAAGCATCAAACTGTTGCGAGGGCACTTGCCCGTGAACGGGGAACGGGAAGGGAGCAGGCAGGGATGAAGGAGGGGCTGAGGAGGCGGAAGGGGGAAGGAGGGGGGGAGACCTGTCTCACTCGATCGAAGAATTCAAACCTCGAGCCTCAAGCGTGGAACCAGGATCTTCGGGTCAGCTCGATGTACTTCGTAGGAGAATGCTGTCTGGGTGTTTGGGGGGCTTTGGGGGGCCGTCCTGGGGCCTTCTTGGGCCGTCTTGGAGAGCTGGGGCCCTCCAGAGGTCCTCTGGAGCCATCTAGGGCTGGCTCTCTTGGGGGCCTCCAGTGGCCTTCTTGGGGGTCTCCCATAATTTTCGTGGGTCTCTCTGGGGAGCCTTCTGGGGGCATCTTGGGCTTCTTGTGGCCAGTCTCGAGGCTCTCTGGGGCAGTCTTGGGGCCCTCTCGGGCCGCCTTCAAGCCCTCTGGGGGACCTCTTGGGCCGTCTTGGGGCGATATCGGGGGCCCATCGGGCCGTCTTGGACGCTGCGAAGACCCCAAGAGCGGATATACTAAAAATACCTATACGACCACCCTGCGGGTGATAAGGAGGTGAGGGGGGAGGGGGAACCAACGTCTCACTTAATCGATCTCGCTATCGATCTCACATTCGATCTCATTATCGATATCACTATCGATCTCGCTATCGATCTCACAATCGATCTCACATTCGGTCTCACATTCGGTCTCACTGTCGATCTCACAATCGATCTCACAATCGATCTCACAGTCGATCTCACATTCGGTCTCACATTCGGTCTCACTATCGATCTCACTATCGATCTCACAATCGATCTCACTATCGATCTCACATTCGGTTTCACATTCGGTCTCACTATCGATCTCACAATCGATCTCATTATCGATATCACAGTCGATCTCACTATCGATATCACAATCGATCTCGCAATCGATCTAACATTCGGTCTCACAGTCGAACTCTCAATCGGTCTCACCTCGTCTTCCTCTTGGTTCCTCGTCGAACTCTCATTCGATCTCACAATCGAACTCTCGCAATCGATCTCACATTCGCTCGACGCGAAAATAGCGCCGGAACTCCAGGCAATTTTCAATCGGCAGCCCGGTCCAGCAACGACCGAGGATCGACGACCGACGACGACGACGACGACGACGACGAGGAACCAAGAGGGAGAGGACGGGAGGGAGGAGGCGAGGAGAGGAAAGAGCGGAGGGAGACAACGAAGGAGGAAACGGTTCGAGGCGGATCCAGCCGTGGCGACGAGTGGCCGATCTCACAATCGATATCACCATCGACATCGTCATCATCACCATCATTGACATCACCATCAGCATCAGCATCAGCATCAGCATCAGCATCAGCATCATCATCATCATCATCATCATCATCATCAACGTCGTCATCATCATCATCACAATCATCATCACCATCATGGCCATCATCACCATCATCACCATCAGCATCGCACAATCGATCTGATTATCGATCTCACAGTCGAACTCCCAATCGATCTCACAATCGACGCCATCATCATCATCATCATCATCATCATCATCATCGTCATCGTCATCATCATCACCATCATCACCATCATCACCATCATTACCATCATCATCTCAGAATCGATCTGACTATCGATCTCACAATCGATCTCACTATCGATCTCGCAATCGATCTCACATTCGGTCTCACTATCGATATCACAATCGATCTCACATGTGACGTCATCATCATCATCATCAACAACACCAACATCATCATCATCATCATCGCCATCATCACCATCATCATCATCATCATCATCATCATCATCATCATCATCATCATCATCACCATCATCATCATCATCATAATCATCCACATCATCGGGACACCGACGGGACACCGACGGGACACCAGCGGGACACCGGCGGGATACCGCGCGCCACCGGCCGCCCGGAAGGGAAACATTTGGTCCGGCCGCGCCTCAGCCACAGGAGAACCGACGGGACACCAACGGGACACCGGCGGGACACCGCGCGCCACCGACCGCCCGGAAGGGAAACATTTGGTCCGGCCGCGCCTCAGCCACAGCAGACTTTCTCGCGCCCGCCCACGCAGCTTCGCCTCGCCCGCACGCGCGGCACGCACGAACACGAAACCGAAATCGATTTCCCGGTAGGGGGGCTCTCCGTTCCACTTCGATCTCACCCCCTCACCTCCGATATTTGTTC